GTATGAATGATATTAGATAATTTCAAAAATGATCATACTATAAGCGTTGTCATCACAATCATTCGTTTCAAAACATTTCTTTGCGGCAACGCATAGTTTATTTTAGATAATTCTATATAAGTCTATAACTCTATTTCTCACTTATGTTTTTTCCATTGTTTTTTCGAGATTTTTAATTAATGAGCGATGATAAATAAGCATAGAAGCCTTTTAGAAATAAACAAATACAAATCATCGATTTTAGAGAATTTTTTAATCTTTTTTTCGTATTTATTTTTTCCTCACTGTATCAAACTACATGTAGAATCCTTATTTATCGATTTAGTTACATAATTTCTATGTAGAAATTAATGTGAACTTACATTTTATAATAAAAACATTGATCCACTAATTAAATAAGTAATAAGATCTTCTAAATCTAACAGTAAAATAAAAGTTCACGTGTAAATAATCTCATAGTTTACCGTTAAAAATGAAGAAGAAAATCATTGAAGATTAATTAATGATTTTGAGTACATGAAATAACTTTTTTATAACTAATGTCAATTGTAATCAACGAAGAAATTTCTTATTACATAAACAAGATTAAAGATTAAAATTAAAAATCTGATAAAAAAAATCAGCATTAGATGTTTTGTATACTAATCAACAAGATTTAATCTCAAATTTTTAAATTGGATTCTTAAAAAAATATCTCATATGTTAGATAATTCAAGAGTAATAATTAGAAAAAATGAAACATATTTTCCTTTAGTATGATATTAACAATGAGATGAAAAGTTTTGCATAAAACAATATAAGAATATTGTAATTCATCCATATATAGATTTAGGTAGAGATTTTTAACCAGGAGTTGTTACATAAAAATGTTTTCTTTTTATAAAATAATTATTCAACTCACTTAACTTTCGTACTAATGTTATTTTCTTTAATCTATGACAAAATTTAAAAGGAATTATTTTATGTAAAAAGAAAATAATATAAATAGATTCTTTTGACTAAAAATCTTATCTAAAAACTATAGAGAAATATTCAACACCTGCTACATGTGTATTTATTTTGTGCATTATTTATTTTCAAATTCCTTAATTACTTCGACAATAGCTAATTTTATCTCTCATACTTTTCTTCGTCATCTAAAAAACGATATTTGTGACGAAATGTTTTTTTTCTTTCTTATACGTTCTCTGTTAGTCATTATTTTTCTTATCCTTGATAAATCTATTCAGAAATAACTACATAAAGAGAACTAATAAATACTTTCACATTTCCAGTATGGTTATCAATAGGAACTATGTTTAAATGGAAATACCGAAGAAGAACAATCGAAAAAACTTTTCATCTAAGATTTAATATTTTTATTTTGCTTTTCTTCTATTTGAAAATATTCTTCAAACTTATATCTAATATAATGATCATTCTTATCATTGATTTATGCTCGTTCGATTTAGTTTCATATCGAAATATTGAAGAATTCGTTAGAAAATAACAGTTTTCTTTTAATATCAATGTCAAATAAACAGTAAAGACAATATATATTCATCCTCAAGACGATTAACTATCAATACTATATCAACAATTGCTCATTATCTCTTATCGAATAAATCAAACACTAAAAATCTTCTTATCAACTTTGTGACATTAGAATCCATGATGATAATGATAGATCAAATATTTCTATTGATACAATCAATCATTACATGAACCTTAGATTCAATTTCATCTATTTTCTTAAATAAACAAGAGAAATACAGAAAATATTTCGATAAATCAAGTAAACGAATACTATTCTATGTTTAAATAACGACGATCATTATTTCTAGCATTTACTTAAATAAATATTTGTTCAATTTATTTCTTTTATTCCTATCGAAATTATTAAAAGAGAAGGCAAAAATGAAGAAGAGAGAAACATATACACATAGATGATAGATATATTCTATTACTACGCAGTGGGTTCAGATAAAAGAGTAGGTGAAGATGTAGCTCTGGATAGACATGCACCAAACTCAAATTCAAATCCAAGCGGATTTGCAATTTAAGTTTAGATCTAGTAGTACGGTTAACGAAGTGTTTTTATTTCTAGCTTATATCTATATTCTTTTAGATTATCTCTTTCTTAACTAGTTGATCACATGTGACTATAACACAAAGAAGTATCAGTCAGTGCTATTAGAATCGAAAGTGGGTGTGGGTATGAATGTAAAAGAAGAAGAAGAGACATACATCCGCACCCATTTTCAAGATTTTGTTATGTTTCTAAGTAACATAGTAGAGCTTTCGATCTATAATTAAAGTTATTATTAAAGCAAAATTATGAAAAAAGGTGAAAAACATCAACGAACATCTTTTTTTTTTCTTTTTTCTTTCGAGTAGACCTATAAATGAATATTACGATGCGATCGAAATATGTTCTCGTACATTACAATGGTTATCAATAGTCGAAACAGAACGAAAAGAAAAGAAAAGAAAATATAAAATCTGATTACCTTTTAATAAATTATTCGATTGGTTTTTGTTGATATTCGGTGGTTGATCAGATGAAGTCATACGAATAGCTGTTGTACCCATAACTTGACCACTATTACATCTTAATCATGCTTGTATTACTTGAGATAGTTCATAAGTAACTGTTGGTTCAACAGCATGTAATTTATGTTGAACAAATAAATCAAATGTTTCTTTAAGTATAATATGAATAAGAGATGATATATGATCAACAAAATCCAGCGAAATCAGTCTACCATATCTGATCGTAATAATTCTTTTTCTTTATCTTCTTCGATCCATGTTAATTCAGAAAGAAAACGAGATTGTGGTACACAAAGACGAAATGGTTTTCGATCTGCATCTCGTTTAGAAATAATAGAAATTTGTTCTAATTTAGATTTTCCTTGTTCATTATTATTATTATTATCATCATCAACAGATTTTTGTAACATTTCATAATGCCATGTTAAATGTTGAACTTGATTTTGATTTGTATGATTAAGACGAAGAACAACTTCACAAGTATCAGTTGAATATCTTGAATTAATCATATATTCTATTAAAGTATAAATAAATGTTGATTGATTATTATTATTTAATGATGTTTGAAGATCAATAAGTTGTAATCGATGTCGTTCATATTCAGTTATTAAACTTCGTGCAAGACCAATAAATGGTGATGCAATTAAATTAAGATTTGAATCATTATTAAATTGAGCATGATCTGTAAGAACATATACAAATGAATGAAAATGTGGTGATGATTTTTGAATTGTTTGAAGAATTCATGATAATGTTCCACATATAAGTTCGTCCTTTTGTTTGAATGCTAAATCATCATCATTATTTTCATTAACTAATGTTTGATCAAGTTGCCATGCAAAAATAATAGATACTTGTTTATAAGTAGTTAATAGAACTGATATTCCAAAACAAATAATATCTAAAGTTGAATTATGAATATCAAAAACTGTAATATTTGAACATGGTAACAATGATGATAGAATATTATTATTATCATCTGTAATAAATATTAACCATGCTTGATTTTTTCTTTCATCAAGTGTTTCTAATATTTCTTTTGATATTGTTTTTTGACTAATAACTAACGTACTTTCATTTTGATTTAATGTTGATTCAATAATACAAAATCCTTCGATTTGTTCTACTAATGTTGTCCATTGTTGAATTTTATTTAATGCACGATTATTATCATCATCAGATGATGACCACTATTGATCAATAAAACCAAAAATAAGATCAAAATAAAGAGGAACATGAACTAATTCAAGTAATAAAAGAAGACCACTTGGAACAAGTAAGCAACGAAGATCAATTAAACAATTTCTTAAATCTTGATTTCCTTGAAGTTGATTTGCAGAAAATATAATATCAAATGATTCGAATGGTATTCGTTCAAATGTTTTACTATCATATAAATCAATTGTTTCATCATAAATAATAGATAAAGTTTTTGTTTGATTAGTTAGATGTGTATTAAATGTTTGTTGAGCATTTGCAAGTTGTGTTGGATCAGAATCTGCATAATATAAATCAATTAATAAACCTGTTTGTTATGATAAATTAAGAAGAAGATCAAGAATAGGTAAAACATCTGAACAATCACTATCAGTTAACCAAAATATACGTATTCGATAATTTTCAAATGAATTGTCTTTAGTTTGTTTTTCATATTGTAATTTTAAATATTGACAAATAGTATGAAAAACTTGTTGTATTTTAGTTGCCCTGATAAGAGTTTTAGTTTGTTGAAAACTTTGTTCAATTTCGTCATCACCAAAAAATATATCTAATCCATTTTTTTCTCCACTAAGAATATCTTTTAAATGTAAACCATATTTGTTTAATGCTATTAAAAATGGTTTTAAACGAGGAAAACGTTCAATTAATTGAATAAGACGAAGTTGTGTTGAATACCATGTTACTACTTGTTCCGAATGTAAAGTCGAAGCAACAAAATGACATGTATTTAATAATGGATGATGTATATGATTTAAATCAAGATCTTTAATTGCCATTTGAGCATAATAAGCAGCTAATTCATTAAATGATTCTATTGATTCAATTACATCTTGATCACTATTGGAATTAAGTTGATTATTAAGAATAATTTGTTGATGATGGAAGTAAATCTGGTATATTTTTTATTATTGATGAATCAATCGATACTGTTTTCATACAATAATCTTTTATAATTGTATTAAAATATGTTTTATGATCAGTATTAAGTAAATCAGTTTGTATATTTATTTTATCATAAATTATTTGTTCCATTGACCGTCGACCAGAATGTACACCTTGAACTTATTGAATAACAATACATTCAAATGTAAATACTGGTTCTTCTATTTTATTATCCATTGGAAATATCCATAAATCAAGATTATATATTTCTTCTTGACTTGTACCACATGTATTATCATGATAATTTCCACGTACTTCAATATTTGTTGATTGATTCATTTTTGTTTTTATTTTATTTGAATAAATAAATTTTTGAATACGTGCAGGAAGAAATGTTGTTTCAATACCTGTTAATACAACTAGAAAAGGATGAATTAAATAATAAGATGAACAATTCTTATCATCATTTCATAATTGAGATATAATTGTAGTTGAAGTACCATGTAATGTTTTGATTTTTTCAAAACTAGATCCATATTGATAAGCACTTGTTATATCTCGTGTTGTCCATCCATCAGGTATTGTTAATGATTTTTGTTGTTTAGAATCTATTTCGATTTTACCTTGAGCATGTTAAGTAAATTGATTTAATGAATATTTATTAAGATTATTTTGAGCACGAAAAGAATCATCAATATCAGTACAAGTCATACGTGATGAACGCATACAATCTGGACCAGCTACTGACCATGGTCGACTATAAATATACCATTCACGCATTAGCATAATTACTTGTGTAAATACTTCAACTAATTCATGTTCATTCAAAATAAGTACTTTAACAAATTTAACATCTTCAAAAATAATGTTGGTTGTTATTCATCATCTTTTCATGAAAGTAATTGTTGACAAACAGCTGTTGCAAGTTCAAGATAAGCAACAGCTGGAAAAAGAATTGTATCTTGAATTTTATGATCTTTTAAAAAAGCATGTTATGGTAAATTAATATTAATAAGACTTTTCCATGTTGCATTTGTTTGACCATTGAATTGACGAATACTAAGTAATAGATGAGTCGGTATACGGTTAGCTAGACGTTGTATAGATGGACCTTTTGATGCATACCAACATGGACTCAAATGAAAATTATATAACAGAAAATTATCAAAATATTCTTCATGATTTTTCAACAGTAAAATTTGACGAGTATAAAAATATTGTTACCATACTTGAGATGATGTTGTAAGTTGTGCTAAACTAGTAAGTAATGTTATTTGTTCATTTTCTTTTCGTTTTAATGTTGGAAGAATAAGTGGTGACGATTGTCGTTGATTTGTTAATTCATAACATTCACGAATAGATGTTGCTAAAACTGGAGGTGGTGAAATTTCAAGAAAAACATTTGCTGCTTCATCTTTTATAATTGCTGCTATAGCATCATAAAATCGAACAACTTGTCTTACATTTGACCATCAATATTGACCATCAACTGGTATATCATCATTCATTTGTTCACCAATAACACTTGAATAAAGTTTTGCTTTTGCACATATTGGGTCAGAAATTTGTTTTTGATCTTGTATTGGAAGTCCTCGAATATCTTTCAATGATGGAAGCATTTCTTTTTCAATATCAAATCGATTCATTTGATATGAATGAAATGCATTTTCAATACGAACACATGCTTTAAATACATTTGGATAAGAGATTGAAAGTATTTGCTGTATTTCATCACCACTTATTTTTACTAGACGAGGACTATTAACAATAGTAATACAAGCCAAATGTTCGATACCTTTCAGAAGTTTATTTTCTACTTCTTCTTCACTCATTCAAACAGCTAACATACGAACAGTTTCTTTTAAACTTAAACGATCAGCAACAAAAGCAGCTGCTTGATCACCAGCACTATGTGATATAATAGATGATGGATAAATATTCCATGAAACAAGTAAAGCTGCTAATGCAACTTGTATAGCGAATATTGTTGGTTGAGCAATATTTGTATCATTAATACGAGATTCTTGTTCATTTTTCTTTTCAATTAATTCTTCTAATAATCTCCATTCACCCTTATTAATTTTTGCCATTTCTTCATCAATTAAATTAATCCATTTATTAAATAAAGGTTCACTTTCATATAATTGTCTACCCATAGCCCACCATTGTGGACCTTGACCACTAAAAACAAAACATATTTTCTGTGCTGATGGTTTTGTTGGACGTGATATAATTGAAAGGCCTGGTGATGCTTGTTCAGTAAGAAAAGCATTGATTTGTTCTTGTAATTATTGACGATTGAGAAAAACAAAGATTGCTAAATGTTGATAACTAATAGTTCTTCTTAGAAGAAGTTGTTGCGATATACGTTGAAGAAAAGCTTGATCATCATTATGATCTATATCAATAATTGATGATTAAGATATTAACGACTTTTTGCTGAATAAGAGAAATAAATTATTTAATGAATGAAAAGAAATTAAGAACTTACTTGAAAAAATAAAAATAAAATATTGTTTGCTTTTAATATGATTTCCATCATCGATATGACCATTTTCAATTGATGTTTTATTTATTGGTTGATATTCTTCAATAATAGCATGTGTCGTTGAACCAACCGTTTCGAATGAATTAACACCAATAGCTATTTTTTCATTATTTGAAACGGATGGAAATAGTATAAAATTTTGAAGAATATGTAGATTATATTTTTGTGCTTCGAGTTTTGGATTAAGTGAAGTAAATTGCATATTTGTTGTAAGACCACGATGATACATACACATAGCAACTTTAATAAGTGATGCAACACCAGCTGCACCTTCTGTATGTCCTAAATTACTTTTAATTGAACCTAATAATAATGGTGGATCAAGATCTGATCGATTAAAAAATCGATCTAAACAATTAGCTTCAATTGGCTGATCAACTGGTGTACCTGTACCATGTGCTTCAACAAATAATATTTTTGGAGTATCAAAATTATTTCTTGAATAAATATTTGCTAATAAACGTTCTTGTCCAGCACCTGATGGTACAAAAAAAATTGTTTTATCTTCATTTTCATCATGACCACTAAGTACATCACGAATAACACAATATATACGATATTGAGGATGTGGGTGTGGGTGTGGGTGTGGCTAAAGATATAAAAAATAAAATATATATGACGTTCAAAATTTTTAATTCTAACAAGTTTTAATTCAGGTTTGAAAATAAAACGTTCATTACTTATAATAGATGTGTCTTAATCACACATATCATGGTATGATCACTATCTTATCATCTACCTTCTTTCAGTTTTATGAATATCATTACGAAGTTCTAATATATCAAAATGTCGTGAACAATTAAGATCAGAGATACTGTCGCGTCTGTCTAATAGGCAAGCTTACATGACTTTACTACAAAAACAACATATGTGGTTGGTTTCTTTCAGGCAATGCGTGAGTGAGAAATCCAGTTATGTAATATTCTGATAATTTCTTTTAACTTACATCAGTTGATTGTTTTCTTCTCGATTTATGTTCTGATGAAGCTCTTGTTGTTTGTGTTTCATCAATTTGTGTCATTATTGTTAAAATATGTATACGTTGTTGTTGTTCTTGTTGTTTAGCTGCATTATTAATTAATGTAAAACATAAACGTTGTAAACCAAATTTATTCATAACAAATTCGACATTTTTTTATTATTATCAAACGATAAATGTGTTTGTATATGATTTGGCAGACGAAATTGTAATCGACAACGTTGTGATTGTATAGCATGAATATTAACGTTTTCAAATCAATGAAATTGTTCTGTTATTAATTGAATTTTAAAAACATCAGCTGTTGATTGGTCATGATTAGATAAACTGTTTCCATTTGTATTTGTTTACATGAAAGTGCAAATAATGACATTGTAACAATATCAACAGGTGTACGTAATTCAGTTAATTGAACATTATGCTCAGCTAAACCAGCTTGTAATAAATAAACGTTTATTTTAGGTAATTGTAAAGATATTTTATCGCTGATAAATCAATTGATGTTACAAAAGGATTTTATTGTGTTTGTACTTGAACACGAAGACCATCAAGAATAGATATTGGATGAATATCATATATTTTCCATTTTTCAATATATGTTGTTTAACATTCAAGCATAAGTGGTTTTAAAAGAATATTAAATGCTTCGATAAATCGAACACATACTTCTCTTTCTGTAGCAATTATATTTGATGCATTTATTGGTGTCAATGTTTGAGCAGTTGAAAGACGTGATCGACAATTTGATGCTGTTATTGTTGAGATGGTGGTTATCGAGATAATGGAGTAGTAAATGACTGTGAAGATGGAGACATTTCAGATAAATATGAGCAACAAAAACCTTGAGATACACAATTAAAACCAAGTATTGAACAATGATCAATTTGATCTCACTGAATATTTGATGGGAATGTAGCGTTATTGGACCATGTTGAAGAAAGATAATGAGATAAATCATGAATAAGTTGTACATAAAAGAATCGATTTTGGTACAAGCATTTTCATTTGATTACGTAAACTTATCCATGAAGAACTAGGAAGAGATGGTTGTGGTACAGTATTATATTCCTTGTTTGATGAAGTTCCTTAAAAGATAGAAATATTTCTATTATATCTCATCTTTAAATAAATTATTCAATTCTTAATATTTAAAAAATCTGAATATACTTTTCTAATGTATTTAACTATGTACAATATGAATCGAAAAAATCGAGATAATTCTTTTTTGAAAGGCTTAAAATCGAAACTAATCAGTCTAGTTTGTATTCTATATGAAATAAGTTAGTTAGTATATTAAATAGTAGAAAAAATAAATCATGTCGATTTTTTGTAGTTACGATTATCTCACTAAATAAATAAATCTAATATCTCAGAACAAAAAAGAAGTATGATTGATTTCTCTTTCTAATGATATACATACTTTTCGAGGTAGAAATGCTCAACTATTTCTTGTTTGTTGTCTTTGTAGTATTTCTTCTAGAGCTGCTAGTGAATCAATTGATGATGAACGTAATGAATTTGTTGATAAATTTTGTTTATCACCAAATGATGTTAAAAATATATTTTAATCAGAATGTATTGGTGATGATAAAGTTGATGATGATTCCATATTATTATTTGTATTGTTTAAAGTTGAATTTAAACTTGTTTGACTTGCACTTGTTAATGATAAATGTTCATTAGGTGTTAAATAATCATCACTTCCTGGTGTTTGTGGTGATGGTGATGAAACAATATCTATATTATTTAATGGCATTGAAAATGGTGAACGCTTATGTTCATTTCATTCAATAACTGATTTATGTTTTAAATTTCTTAATAAATTAGTACGTGATAATGAATATAAATCTTGAGGTACACTACGTTATAATGGATTATCGTTTATATTTTGACGTTGTTCATTAGATTGTTTCTGTTGTCCACAAAAATCAAATGGATAACCAATTTCTTCGTCATCTAATTCATCATGTAATCGATTAACATGTTCAAATATAGAATGTGAATGTAAAACATGTAAATCAGGACGAAATAATGAACGACCAAATGATGATTGTTTACTAAGACGAAATGTACTTTTAAAAATTGTTCATCTTGCACAAGTGTATACTGATTTGTTGCTAAATCAACATAAGATGAACGTTTTAAATTTGTTGATATTGTTGAAATATTTAATGTTTGTTGAGATTTAAGATTATAAAGAAAATGAAGTCATTGAGAATGTTGATCATGTCGACGAAGAAATTCTAATTGTTCCTTGATAGTAGTTGGTGTTCGTGGATGACATTCAAATTTTGCATTAATACGTAATTCAGGAACACTTATTGAACCAGGATAAAGAGGTAATAATTGTCGAATTTGTATTGTACCAACTTTTAAATTTAAACTTTCATTACATAATGATGTATGCATATTATACATACATAAACGAATAGGTGCTATCTAAAACAACAAAATTATGAAAGATGAAGAAGTAAACAGAATATTTCTTACTTGAACATTAACAACATTTCCAACTTAAATGAGATTAAGATCAATTGAATCTAAACTAAATCTAAGTACATCTAATTTAAGTTTTTCAATTCATTTTGCTTTATCAATATATGGTGAACGAGCAAAGGTATATTCATCTTCGATTACTTTCAAATAAAAATTTTTAACAAAACCTAAGGTTTTTTCTAACTAAAAACAAGAGAATGATGTTATTTACAAAAAAACACATATTTTTGTTTTTGATTACTTACTTGAATTGTTGTTAAACAAGCTGAGATTTTACCAAGTATAATTTCCATTTGCCAAGCATATTCAAGTAATTCACGTTTAGGTGGTAAACCTTCATGTGAGAGCATTGCATGACCACAAATACTTAAACCAGATAATTGAAGACATCCAGCAGATAAATGTTAATCTGTTTTATTTCTCTAGATGAAAAAGAAAAGAATTGTTAGAGTTATTCAGAGATCAATAAATATTTCATTCATATTTACTGAATTAATAAGATCAAGATAGAAATCAGAAGTAATAGCTTAGCATGTTGAAATTTGATAATCTCACTTAAATGACTTAGTCTTTACGCAGACAATTTTAATAACTAAGTAAATTTGAAAAACATACCATGATGAAATAAACACTTGAATCTCATTATTTGGACTTATCAGTTTGTTAGTAGATGAGTAATCAAGAGTTTTTGAGATCATAAGTACTTTTCTCAAATGGTTTTATTCAAAAATTCTTAAAACGAAAGCATTACTAACTACTAGTCAATGGAGCTATTTAGTTTTCTGACATATATCAAAAGATAAGCTGATTTGATCGGTTCAGATGAAAGTTACATTTCTGCTTTGTAGCATGTAGTGAATGTTTAAAAATTCCAATCAATTTTTAAATATACTTACAACAATCGAATCTTCGACATAAACATTAATTGATAGAAAAAATACTTGTAATCTTGTTTCATCAAGATCAGTTGTCATTTCAAAGCAAAGTCGTTCACAAAAAGCTATTAGACATGGTTCATCATTCGTATGCTAAAATACAAGATTTTATTAAAAAAATCAAATAATTATTTTCATTTACGATTTTTATGTTAGATGAAACGGAATGTTTGGATAAATTTAATGGAAAATAAATAAATGATGATATTTTCATAAAATAAGTTAAATTATTAAATACATTAATAATTTGTTTTGGATGTCCAGACTTTTACAAATGCAAAAATTTTCTAATTGACCATTAACTAATCAAAAAATAAAAATCTCTACCTTATTTTATTAGATTTGTTAAACTGAAGATTCATGTTAACTATTAATGTATTTTGTTGAACATTAAAATGCCTGTTAATAATACTTGAACTTGTTTTTTTCGAACAGTATTTAATAATAAATGTTGAATTTGATAATAAATCAAAATTTATTTCAATTAATTGAATTATTAAATAAAGAAAGTTAGAGTCTTCATCTTGAGTTATATAATTGTTGTAAAGACCTATTTGAGAATGATAAAGTCTTCAATGAATTCGTTTTCGTTGAAAACTAAACCAAATTTTGCATACACATTTGCATCTTTTTGAAAATCTTGTTTTTTAGTAATACATTTTGATGATTTTATATGTTTAGTTCCAATTTGTCCTTCTTCTTGTTGAGTATTATCAATTTTTAGAATTTGATAAAAATGAATTTTCACTAAAAATTTGATCATTAAATGCATAATTATTAATTTCACTGGAATCATTTTGTGGATGTAAAGAACAGTTAATTAATGTTCCATATAATAAATATTCTAATAAAATTCTTTTATTAATTAATTCATTTTTATCATTTTAAGTAAAACGATTTGCTAAGAAGTTATAAAATATTTGTTATCACTTGAATATGTATTCATTTGTAGTTTTGCCAAATCAATTAAAATAATTTTATTTGAATATGAATTCGTTAGAATAAGTATTTGCGAAGCATGCAATGTAAAATCCGTTTTACACTCAATTGAATATTCATTATGTTTTTGTAAAATTGAGGAAAGAAAACTTGATTCATCACAAGATGTATCTTTATCTTTTTGTTGTTGCTGATTTGTTTGAAATGGCTTAATTAATAATGATAATATAAGTTGAAGATATTTATAAAGAAAAAGAAAATTTTATTTTTGAATTTGACCTTTGATAAATGAATATTGTTCTTCAGTTTTCCTTTCATAGTTAAATGAAGATAAATCAAATGTAATTAAATCATCTAGTTTATTTTCTTCTAAAATAATATATTGATAACGAGATTTTATATAAAAATCAATAACATCTTGAGGGTGTGTGAATGAGTAGGATGAATATGATTCACCATTCTATAGAACCATTTGATTCAATATCATAAGTTTTATATTTACTGATGCTTCAGTTATTTTAAATAAAATATGTAAAAATTCTCCTGTATAATATGTTAAATCTAATAATGCACATAACAAAATAATATCAATCTAAAATAAATAATTTAATATAATATTGAATTTAAGTTGTGTTATTTGATGTCGAGATTTGTTTTAATTTGAATTTGGTTTTCTTCTTGAAGAATTTTTTTGATCGGATATCATTTTTTCAATTGTTTCATATTGTTCTTTTGTATTTGTTAAATGGTTTTTATCTTTTGATTTTGAATTTTGTTAGTTTTAAAAAATAATATAGAATAAAAAAAAGGAAAAAAAAGACAAACTTGATTTTGTTTTCGTTGTTTTTGATCAAATGTTTGTGAATATAGTATTGTTTTCATTAATTTTAATAAACTAAATAAATGTGTCTCAGATATTCGGCATTTAATCGATGAATTATTACGATTTGCTTTACTTCTTAAAATAAATAATAAATAATTATCTCTCATGTTATTTCTCACACTAGATACAAAAATCTCATAATATTCTGAATCATCTGGATCTATGCTCATTTTCATAAACATTTAAAGGAAGAAAACTTCTTGGTTGCTTTGAATATTATTATCTTACCTCTAAGTATGAAACAAGATAAATGTCTGTTATTTTACTTTTTTCTCAAACTTAAATACGAGACTCCAGTCGTATTATATCATTAATGTAAGACGTAATAACCCTATCGTAGTATATAGTAAATGGATATATCTTTCAATGCATTCACCGTTTTCGCAATCACATACCTGGATCACGATACGCTTTTATTTTACATTATAATACGAAGAAAGCAAATGCATATTGTCTTCTTACTTCACTAATTTTAGTCTCAATATAACCCTATCGTATTATAAAGTAAATGGATATATCGGTCAATGCATTCACTATTTTAATAATCACATACCTTGGTCACAATACGCTTTTATTTTACCTTAAAATAAGAAAAAGGTAAATGCATATTGTCTTATTGCTTCACTGATTTTAAATATAATAACCCTATCCTACTATACAACAAATGGATATATCTTTCAATGCATTCACCATTTTAATAATCACATACCGTGATCACGATACGCTAAGACTAAAATAACTTCAAATGAATTAAAACTGTAAGCTTACATGTCTTGCTCATCTTTTGTACAATAGAATAGAAAATATGTAATATGAAGAGTTTTTTATAATCACAATTTCTTTTTGGTGTTATTTAAATAGAAGAAAATCATTTGAACTTACTTATTTTTGTATTGTATGTTCGTCGCACTGTACTTCTTTTATTAATCTTCTATTTTTCATTTGTTATATTCTTTTCATCAATTTAATTATTATCCTAGTAAAATAATAGTCAAATAATAGACTGATTGTTTTTTGATTTATAACACTTAAACTATTCGCTAGAGAGTTAGTTGAAATCATTATTGTTTGCTATATTTATAATTTTTGTTTACTTTTAATCTAAGAAACTGTAGATCTTTTTTTACAAAGGTGATACTTTTGAAATAGTAGTCACTTTGAGACTAACTGAGAAATAAAATTCTACATATACATCAAATAATTCACATCACAAAATCAATATTTACGAATTCAATTTGAACTATTATATTTTTATGTTTACACATGTGAGATATTAGCATATGACTGTTCACATATCGTTTTAGAATAGTTTAACAAATATATCTGTATATTTTTGATTTTTAAGATAATAATTACTCGACTTCCGAATTGTCATTATATCACCATTCTCACTTTATTAAAATATTCAGGAATGCATCAATGTCGTGTTTTAATTTTGAATATAGCATGTTTATATGAAGTTGCTGATGAAATACTGCTAATATCAAATTGTTACTAATCTCAGATAGGTATGAACTATAATAATAGTAGAATACAGATTTATACCGTATTGTTAATATATGACAAGCAAGAAGATTCATTCTGAATATTTTATGTAGACATATAAAAAGTAATGAGTATGATTGAAAATCAATGGATTCAATAAGTGTTGATTAAAATTGAATGTGAAAGTATTTTTTACTCACTTAAACTATAATTCTCAGCCTTCTTATTTCTATTGCCCTAATCCTGTATCTTTTGTGTTTCTAATTCAACTCCCTACCTTAATATTTTCTATTTTCTCAAACAATTAAATTCGATAATGAGGTTATAAGCATTATATCTAGTTTATTTGAAAGAGAGCGACAGAAGAGAAGAACAAGAAGAAAAGCAAAGAAAAAAAAAAGAGAGAGAGAAAAAAAAGAAGATGATATATTTCATCAACGTATGGCGTATATATATATGTACATGATCATGTCATATACAAATATATCAAAAAGGACTAGTAAAAGAATATCATACCATATATGAAAGATAATAGAACAATCGAGGATGACCTCGATAACAGAGATCCTGTTTTTCAGGAGGTCTGGAAACAGATTTACATTGAAATCTCTAGTATTAAAATCCTACAGTTGAGTGAAATTGAATCTTCATATTATAATATAGTATCGAATAGATAGATATTAAATGAATGAGTTACAATTATAATTTTATCATTGAATCCATTAGTAATGCTGTTTTTCGATTTTTTATAAACTCTTATCAAGTACTGGATCTTATCAGATATAGTGTAGGAGTGATTGAGAAAAAAGTAACTAAGATATCGATCATAATATATGATGGAAGGATGAATTTCTTTTTATTCTTTGCCCCATCCTTATATTCTTGAGTTATAATAAGAGAAGAATTGTAAAGCAATGTTCACTGTTCAGAAAAGGAAGTGCTCATAGTTAGAAAATTGATCAGTAGTCAAAGTTTTACTTGGTATTAATTACTGATAAATAAATCTACACTGTAATATTATCAAGAAAAAAATGATTATTATAAAGAATATAGAAGAACAACTGACTGATCATGAAGTTATTGATGTCGTAATCGTCACATTTGTTCTTATACTCAATGATATTGGATTGAATGATCACAAGAAAGTACATAGAAAGATATTGTATAAAATTAACAGAAAAGTTTATAGTGAAATTTGATTTAAAAATCAAATAATTGCATTACCCAGAAGAAACCTATGACTCTTTATATTGCATTTGTAAGATATTGTAAAAAAAAGGACAAAACGCATCTTTCGAGTAAGCGAAAATTTTTATCACAAACTAAATTCGATTTAATGATTTAAATATCTAAAAATACACACCAGAAATATAAAAAATTGAGCATTCTGTCTGAATTAATTTGACTTTTCATCTGTATCTATTCGAATGCGTACAGATAAATGTTTTAAACAACATGTCAAACGTTGAATATATTTACCAGAATTATTTGTTGCATCGCCTGAATCTTCAAGTGAAACTCGTTGCATTAAACTTGTCATAGCAGGGTTCAGTTCAAACAACGCTAAATCTTGATCAATACATGCGTGATCACCGCCTCTAAATGACATATAAACATACTGAAGTGGATTTTTATTCTCATTTAAAAATCGTTCAGGTATAAATTTTGTTAGATCAGTTTTTTAATAGCATAGATCTTGCTGTAGATTATAAGTAGTAATGATAACTGTATCTCCTTTTCTTATAGATATATCATCACGTGTTGCTTCACGACTTATGGCTTCAGCAATAGGAGCATATCGAAGAATTTCTTTTGTTACACCTTTTATATAAACCAATGAATCTAATATATCTTGTGTTAATTGAGTTTCATCTGTTAAATTATGTTCTTGAGGTTCATTTTTAATTTTTTGTTGAATTTTTGGATATTTAGGCATGTAAAAAATCTTGAGGGTGTGGGTATGTATGAAGATGAGAACAACACTCACACTCACATTCATACTCAAGAAAAAAAATCGATCGTTGAATAAAAGCCTACTATGGTCATCCATTTATATGATGTATATATTATATCGAAAAAACAAGCACGTCCTTAATTTTTTCTCAGTATTCTTGGATTGATAAATGTTGAACTGTATTCTAATATAAAATAATGACGAATATTAATAATTTTAGTCAAATGAAGATTGTTTACTTAAAAAAGTAATTCTAGAAATCTCATAGATCTATTTGTATTGAAATACTTCTACTAATATAATTTCTAGGATAAAATTTCATGTATCAATACAATTAAATCAAGATGTAATATTCGATTTGATATACAACATAAATCTAAACATTGTCTTTGACTTAAGTGTTTTGACTGAGGTTCAGAAAAATTGAATTACTTTTATCTAAAAGATTTTAAGAATACGTAAAGATTTTATGATGACATCTGAACAAACAACTATTGAACAAAAATCAAGATATACAAGTTATCAATCAGTGAGAAATAACTAAAATAAATTTTCATTTTTCGAAACATATTGTTCTCATTACGGTTGATAAATCATGTTTAACACATATAAAAGATATTTTGTTTATCAACTTTAAAATGTAATTTATATAATTCATCTATCATTTTAAAAGAATTCCTATATATAATTCATTTAGTATTTGATTCAAATACTGAACTATGATATGATAATCACGATAAAATAAATTCAACAACTGCACAGTTTATATATTATTTATTATGGTTTTGAATCATAAACTGATGAAATTAATTGATACTGATTAATAATAAAAATGTTTTTTTTATTTTCAGTCAAAATATATTGATAGACTTATTCGTTATTTGTTACAACGAAGTTCATTTAATAATTGTGTTATTAAAATATTAAATTTTATTGAACAAATTTTCTAACGAAATTAAATCTAAAATTAATTTAATAAATATCGATCCATTAATGAAAATATTTCTTCATTTACCATACATTGTTTTATTTAAAAAAATTGATTAATAGAAAAATAAAGGTTTAATAAATGAACAATTGATAATTAGAAAACACTAGTTTATGAAGTTTGACGAGCATGTATAAGAACAGGCATATCATTAGCATATATTTATGACAAGCGACTTCATTCTTAACTGTAAATTGATCACTAATCATATAAACAAGACAACTTTGAGGATATGTCGGTGTACGTGTGGGTGACGGTGTGAGTGTCTACTTTTTCTATTCACACCCACACCCACACCCACACCTTTGTTGATTAGAAGTAAATACCAACGTGTTTCCGCGATCGATTACGTAATTGACTTAAATATTTTGTTTTTATATGCGCAGCTTAATAACAATATTTTTCTCAAAGGTTCTTCCTCTTTATTTGCTCGATTACTATCGAAACAGATCGTAGGATGAAAGGGAGAAACATTAATTCAGTAATCACTTTCTCTTTCTTTTTTATTATATATTTACCCTTCTTGAATTACTTAAATGATGATCTTGTTTCTTTTTATTATTCATATTTTACAAAAGAAAAGGTCATTTCTTTTGTTAGTTGAAAATTTCCAATATAGCTACAGATAAACTATGATACACACCGAATCTACATGTATCATCTGTATGTGTTTCCAGCAATATTGTTGCATACAGTATCACAAAAATATGTCTTAAGGGTGAAGGTGAGGATAGGAACCGGATCGACGATGAAAGAATAATGCACCTTCACCCACATTTAAGCGTCGACTATCTTGAGAGTGAAGGTACAGCAGAATATCATACTCTCGCTCTCATTCATTTACTTGCAGTTGTATTGTCTTCTCTGAATTGTCGTAACGATAAATCATTTCTTTATGTTTTATTAATATTCTTTTTGTAAAATAATTTGCCTTATAGTGAAAAATCGTGTACTGTAAGTTGCCGAAGTTGGTCGTATTTGGTTTAGCCGATTACTCATATTGCCAAACTAACAAATTTAAACTATTTCGTACTTACAGCTTGCATTGAATGAGATATTTTATTTTTGATACTAGCCGTATATATGATTGACACTTATAAAACTCAAAGTTTCAGTAAAGTTTTTGTTTTTTTCAATAAATATGTTTCAAACTTGAAAAATAAAAATAGCAACTGATTATACCACCGTGAGGGTGACATGTTTGCTGTATTAACCTTTCATCTATTCAATCACTTTTCAGAATTCCATCTGTATCTAATAATTGAAAGCAAAAATTATCTTGTTCGCTTGAACATTATATATAAAAGTGTCACTTATAAAGATTTTCACACGCACAGTTTACAACGTATATTCAGTAGTTGTGTGTGACAGATCAAATATCTTCATTCGCTTCGCTCACACTCTCATCCTAGTTGGTTTTTAAATCAGCTTCAGCCTATTCGTTGAAATCATCGTATGACAAGGAAGTAATAGTATTTTCTCGGAAAAAAACTATTGATTCAATATTTACCAACAATAATAATACGAAAAAGCTAAGCCTACTTGATCTTCAAAGATTAATGCATGTATAATGGAAGTCAAACATATAATTAATATTCGTGTACTTTGCTATTATCCAAGAATCAATAGTGTAAAATTTCAAAGGTTAAAAGTTTAAATTGGAAACTATAATCATCGCACCATAAAACAATCTTTGATGTAATGATTCATACAAGTGTATATCATCATTCTTAACAAATAGGGTTGTCGTTGGAACGATACACAAGAAAAATCTTCAAGTTCCTTGCATCTTAATTAAAGAACAGTGAATGATCGAATCAGTTGAATTCAAGAAATAGTCCGAAGGCAAAGATAATTTAGTGAAACTCTTAATATTACGACTAATAACAGATAAATGATTCAACATTTTGCCTGAGACCATTAAAAATCCTAAATAGTTCTGTTTTGCATAGATAAAATAATTTGAAAAAGGAATGATAATGATAATTTCATTAGCTTTACATATAGATAGATTGAATCAATAGGAATTTTGTTCATTTACCGATGATAAGTTCTATTAAATGTGCAGGATGTTGATTTTGAATAACGATTGAGGATGTCACTTCCGGGTTCTTTAGGCAACAGAATCTTGATATTCTGAATGACGATATATCATTGATTCAGGAAGTGAAATTTTATCTCAATCGAAAAACAATAAATGCAATATGCAAATCAAATACTTGGCTCTTTCCTAGTAAAATGACCTTAATCCCATTATTAGTTACTCATCATTTGCAATTATTACGAGCTTCGCAATAATGTACTTTCCAACAAACTGTTACTTCCGCAATAAATCACATGATTTTTGTATTCGCTCATGTATATAAAGGGTAGTTTTGATTGCTGAAATTATTCAATTCAAAACAAAAAATGTATTTGGCTATTATTCGTCTTTTCATCATCCTAGGTATTGCTCTGGCAATATGTGAGGTGAATTTTTATTTTAATCGAATAATTTAATATTTGACATATTTTTCGTTTCATATAATTAGGCTAGCTATGTTCTATGTCTTCAAAGAGTTCCTATTCATTCATGTGCATCAAGGGGTTGTCCTGTAGTTGGCAATGCTATCACCAGCAAGCGCTATCCATGTGATTGCTTTAAAATCGAGAAAGTTTTGGGTAAAAACCAAAAATGGTATAAGATCGAATTACCTGATGGAAAACATGGCTATGTAACCAATGACCACTGCTCGGGCAGTGTTCCGCAATGTTAATGTTGGCATCGGAAAGCATGTCATTCCTAATATTTGATTTTAACTTTTTTTTGCTAATCAAGATGCTTAATACATGATATTCACTTTCTATTAAATAAAAGAGTATACCTGACAATGTCTACATTTTTCTATTAAATGAATGTGCCATATCTAGATAGAGGAATAAAAAGGAGTATCATATTACATTGTTGTATTTTGCTATATCACGTCTCAAAGAATTACACGTATGATAGTGAGCACTATCAATATAACCAAATAATGATGAATATTTACCATAAAAGTTGTGTTAAATCTGTCTATACATTATATTGTCATTTGTGTGCAAAGCTACATTTGAGCAATGTTGAGATTCTTTTATATTATATTTTTTCTATCGATATCTAATGGTTTACAATCATTTTCCTATGATACAGATCCATTTGGATTTGATTGTTTACATTATTTTTCACTTGAATTATCCTTTACTGGAATAGTCAAATATTGTATTCGTCCAAATAACGACAAAAATTTGACGCCAGTAGTTCATTTTATTAATATATCTGATCAATCTTTTACTTTCAATGAATTATATCATTTGAATGTTACCTCAGATGATATTCTTCGATGGTCGTCATCAATTGATGTTGCTGAACAATATCAATATTATCTCGATCGACCATTTCAATTTAATTTATCAAATGAAACTTTTTTTAATTGTACAAGTCCATGGTTTGGATCTCGATGTCAATATGCATTAGAATTAAATGAAGATGAATTAGTTTGGAATTCATTTGAAATGACTTCAACAGATAATATATTTCATCAAACGTGTTACATTCTATTAGAATGTGATCGCGGTGGTTCATCGATTTGTCTTGATTGGCGTGAGATATGTAATAGTCGAATCGATTGTCTAAATAATGGTATTGATGAAATTGGATGTTTTGATTTAGAAATGAATGAATGTAATGAGAATGAGTACCGATGTCATAATGGATTGTGTATTCCAAAAATCTTTCTGGATGTGGAAGATGCGGAAGCACAATGTTCTGATCGATCGGATGGAACTGTTAAGGCCAGTCATCTCCTGGAATTTTATTATCGACCACATCTATTCGAATACCAAGAATATGTATGTCGACCTGACGAAGGTCAATTTACGTGTGGTGATGGGCAGTGTGTAGAAGATTTTGGTCAATGCCAAAATAATCGACATTTAGCATTAACTCAGTCAATTAGTATTCAAGGAAATTTATCCTATCCATGTTGGATAGTTATGATTTGTCTTATCAAAATCATGAGTAAGATCGAAAATGTAACATGTGATCAGCTCATGCAATCTTCTAAAATCATTGAAGAATTTAAAAATTGTACGTTTCCTCTTGAATTTCCTGTTATTCCTGTACTCTTTGGTCATGTACGATTTTTATATGATTCAAAAGAAATTGACAATATTAATCTAACATTAGCTCTTAAACCTGATTATGTTTGTTATGATGAGCAATTGTGTGATTTTCTCACACCTACATTTTATCATAAAAATTTCACTTGTCGATTTGGGAATCAAACAGGCCTTGACTTCAATGTGGAATTAAGTACATGGAAATCTATCATCGATTTAGTCAAACCATACTTTATTGGTTGTATCACTCAACGTTATCAAAATCTCAGTTCTCACTATTCATCATTATATCATTGTAAGAATTCTTCAAGATATATTTCTAAATATCGAATCGTTGATGGTATACCCGATTGTTTTCTAAAAGATGACGAACAAGCATTTGAATTAAGTTGTTTATTAAATCAAACGCTTCGATTTCAATGTCCAAATGAAAAACAATGTCGTTCACCTATAATTTCAAGAAAAATATGTTCTACTTCGACACAGATAAATTACAATGAAATTTTATTTTATCAAATATGTGATCGTATTCAGAATTTCCCTTTAATATTGATCAATGGCCAATACTACTCAGATGAAACTGATTGTGAACATTGGCAATGTAATAATATTTATACACGATGTGATGGATTTCGAAATTGTCTTACTGGAGAGGATGAAAAGAATTGTACACAACTAATTAAATTAAATCATTTTCTGTTTTGTATTTCACCACAGAATTATACATTTATGTGTTTACCAGCTGATCAAGTTAGTAATGAAATTGTCGATTGTCTTGGAGTATCATTCGATACAGATGAATATTTTCAAATGAATAATATTACTGTGGAAACATACAAATTTCGTTATTGGAATTACACAAAATGTAAAGAAGATGAAAATACTTGTGAAGAACATCAAAATTGTTTTATTTATAGTAATTATCAATTTTGTCTTGATCGTTTAAAATATTATGACTTAAATGATCTTTTCAATGTACAAAACATTGAATGCCAAATCGTCAATACAGGTTATGTATCTTTTTCATTAGATACTGCATTAGTTTATCCAATCTTTCAGACTGTTCCGACTCATTCTATTAAAAACCAGATCATTAACAAAGAGATAGAATTCCCGATTAAAAAAATTACACAGCCAGATGTCTGTAATTATGGTTTATATATGTATCATCGACTTGGAGTCGGCAACTACAGTAGTCTATGTTTTTGTCCACCAAACTATTATGGCGATCAATGTCAGTATCAAAATCAACGTGTTAGTTTAACTCTCGTACTAGCAACGGTCGATCAGCCGATTGTCTATGCCATTATTATTACCTTAATGGAAGATGATAACGATAGACAAGAAATTCATTCGTACCATCAATTTACTTATGAGTCAAAAAAATATTGTGGTCAAACTATAGATATCTATCTATTATATGCAACACGAGGAAAGAATGACACAAAAAACTATAGCATTCGTATTGATGCATTTGATAAGAGTTCATTGACGTATCTATTAAGTTGGTATTTAACTATTCCATTTATTTTTTTACCAGTTAATCGATTGAGTGCTTTTTTAACTATTTCAATATTTCGACCATTCAATTTTAATCATTGTAATCTTCATTGTTATAAAGGTATTTGTATGAAATATCATAATGAAGAACGATTCTTCTGTCAATGTAATTCAGGGTGGTCTGGTGCACAATGTCATATTCCAATCGATTGTAGTATGTGCGCATCAGATTCGATCTGCATTGGTTCGATTCAAAATCGATCAATTTGTGTTTGTCCTCAAGATAAGTTTGGTTCATTTTGTCGTCTCAGACTAATGTGTCCAGTAGGATTTTGCGAAAATAATGGTCGGTGTGTCGTAATCGATGAGAGAATGATTGATGAAAGTTATGTATGTTTTTGTCCGGAACAATTTTCTGGACCAAGATGTGAAGACGTCAATTATAAAATAGAGATTTCGCTTAAGAATATTGAAATTCCATCACACTTACTCGTCTATATCTACAATGAGATTAGTTTTGAAGAATCGATATCAACATTAATTATACTCAAAAAATTGACTATGTTTCAGAACCATGTTATTTTATATTCTCAGCATATGTTCAAAATGATTCTTGTCAAAATTGATAATCGTTATTATTTGGCTGTACTTCAAAAAGACGAATCATCTAATATAACAACATCGATTAATCCTGCACGACGATGTGCTTCAGTTGATGAAGTTTTGAATACTGAATTAGTTTCATTGCCACGAATCCAGCGATTGAAAAGTTATCATATTCCATGTCAACGTGATTTTAATCTACAATGTTTTGTCGATGAATTTTACATGTGTTTGTGCACGGAGGAACATCATAGTAATTGTTTTCCATTAGATCATCAATTGAGTTTTATCTGTGAAGATAATGTTTATTGTGAAAATGGTGGAACATGTTTACAAGATCGACCTATGTGCTTTTATAGTATTCTATGTGTATGTAACGATTGCTTCTTTGGTGATCGATGTCAATTTTATGCGAAAGGTATTGGATTAACATTAGATGATTTATTACGTTATGAAATTCGACCTAATAGTACATTAAATGATCAACCATTGGTAGTTAAATTAAGTGCAACATTTATCATGATTATTTTTCTCGTTGGTTTAATCAATGGTTTTCTTAGTTATTTAGTTTTCCATAATCGTGATTCTCGTAAAGTAGGATCTGGAATTTATCTCCGATTATCATCAATTATTTCTGTTCTGATTGTTACTATGCTAATTATAAAATTCTGGTTTGTGGTCTATAGTTATATGAATCCATTGATCAATCGTAATATTCTTCGAGTTGGATGTTTAGTACTTGAACCTTTACTTCGTCTTTTCTTAAATATGAGTAGTTGGCTTAATACTTGTGTGGCCATAGAAAGAGCAATATCAGTCCTGCAAGGAATTAATTTTAATAAGAAAAGAAGTAGATGTATTGCACGATGGATATGTTGCCTTTTACCATTCATAATTTTGGGTTCAATGAGTTATGAACTCATTTATCGTGATTTATTTGATGATCATGAAGAACGACGTTTTTGGTGTGTACTTCAGTATTCTCAATCAGTTGAAAGATCTACCACAATTATTCAATATTTCCATTTTGTTGTTCCTTGTGCAATAAATTTATTCTCAGCTGTTTATATTATCATAAACATTGCGCGTCAACGAACGACCACTCGAACAAAATTTAATTATAGACAACAACTAGTTAATCAAATCAACGAACACAAACAACTTATAATCAGTTCTATTGTATTAGCTATTTTACTGTTTCCTCGTTTTCTTATTTCATTATTATCAACATGTATTAAACAATCACGAAATCCTTGGTTATATCTTTGTGGTTATTTTGTTTCATTCATTCCATCATCTTTTATCTTTGTAATATTTGTCCTACCATCGATTTTTTACAAGAAGCAATTTAAACAATCGATTATTACTTTGCGACAACGATTTATGAGAATGATAAGACAATAATACTCTCAAATATATACAATTTAATTTATTAGTCTTAACCTTTAATGTGAAAGATTGAAAGTCCGCTTTTCTTATTGTGAAATTTGCCTTTAATTGTTTTTGTTGCTCATATTGAAATAAAACGTTTCTAAAAAATTAACTTTATTTTTAATATTAAGTTTGAGTATGAGTATGAATCGAAAGAGTAGGTATTTACAGCTATACCTACCTTCAAGATATGTCAGTATATAAACTAAAGTAAGAGTTGTTTCAGCATTTACTTTCATAACTAAAATCGACGCTTTCACTTTTATATTAATGTTAGTTAACTGAGTTTAAATAATTTTTTACGGAGGTTACTCGAACAATATGTGATGATAGAAATATGTCTAAAACAATTAAACCATTTGCGTATTCACTTATTGTTCTTTTATATATGTAGATAAAATATTTCATTCGGCAGATTGGTCATTGATGCTTATGATTGCTAAAATTTTCATGATAAAATCTTCTGTATAACTTGATCTACCATGTTTATTAGTACAAGAAATATACTGAAATCTAATAATTTACCAGAAGAATATTAAGTTACAATTTGTTTAAATACTGCAAGTATTGTGTTCTATATTCAAACAATAGGAAACATGATTCTTATTTATAACATTTATGATAATATCCGCTTCACAAATATTATTTAAGAACCAGAGTACTTGTATAAATGAAAAGCAGATACGTTTGAAAGTAAAATTCATGTAGCATATTTTCTTGTTGGAATTATGCAGTAACACTTTTTTTTAATGAAATTGAGAAGTAGGTTAAAATATGAAGTGTCAAAAGAAAATTAATATCATATTCCTTCGCTTATGTATTATTTGAAATAATACCAATAACTAAAAACATTTAGACCTTTTATGACTTGATCTTGTCTTATGAATCTCTTTAGAGAATTGGAAATAATGAAATGACATATCATTTTATCTAATATAATAATAATTGTATCAAGTAGATTAAAATTTTAGATCATTAATGTTTTTCTCTAAGCCTCATCTAATATAAAAACGACAATAAAGTAAAATAATCTGAGTATTCGATTCTTCCTATTTTTTGTTTTCAAAATATAAATTTTCTTTATTAAACAAAGAAAAAAACATCCATAATAATAACAAATAAAGATTTTTAACAGAAATTTAAAAAAATAAAACGAATATTAATTTGACTTAATCAATGCCATCATCTATCATAACACCTTGTACTGTATAAGTTTTAATACAAATATCAATTTGTGAAAAAAGTATTTCTAAACGTCGATCAATTGCAATGAGATGTTCGTTAACAAGAATCATTTGTAATAATTCAGTAGTATTTAAAGAATCTGATACTAATTTTGAAAGACCTTTATTATAAACACGATATAATCGAGCAAACGTCGAATAACGAAAAAAGCAACATTGTCTAATAGGTGCTAAAATCGATAAATCATCAGCATCATATCGTCCGAAACTACGACCATTATCTAAATGCACCAAAGCTGTATTAATACCGAATGCACTAATACGCATCATATGATGACGATCTAAATTGCCTATAAAATACACTAATAAATAATGAAGAACGAAAATATGAAAATAATTTACCAATTAAAAAATCAAACGCAGCTAAATCCATCATATCAAGTAATAAACGATTATGATAATCTTCATCTATCATAACATGTTCATAACAATAATTTTCATTTGTTTCCCATTGAGCAGTTCGAGTTGCACTATATGATCGACGATATGGATGAGAAATTTTTTGCCAATCAACTTCTGGCGGTCTTGGTAATAGAACTTGAACGGAACCTTCTAATTGATCACCTGGTTTACCACAGATAGCATGTGATGTATCACAATAATATGAACAATGACCACGGAAGCACGTATTATTTGCTAAATAAGATATTCAAAAAAAATAATAAATTAAATTTGATTTAAGCATATATACCAGGTGAAATAAAAAATGTTTTAGCTAATTCTTCTGTTGCTTTATCACGAAGATCACTGGTTATATTCAATAATCGTCCAATCAACGGAGGAACACGATTAAAACCAAGTATTCTAAAATAAATATATTTTCAAATAGAAGAAGAAAAATTATAACGCTTACTTATCTACATGAAATGCTGCGATTTCAGCATGATGTCTTTCAATATCACTAAAATAAAAATGATCTGGTTGTGTTTGATAATTGCGAGGAACCCTAAATATAATATTCAATTTTTATAAAAAAAAAAGAAAGAAGAAATTCAACAAACCTGTAAGGTTTTAATAATCCTTGAAAACCATTAGGTAGATTGAGAATAACTTTAATTTGGGTGCCTTGAGACATTTCACCTATGATAAAATAAATATTCAACATATACAAAATCAAAAAAAGTTAGTCGTTCATTTTCATACTTGCTTCAGAGATTTTACCATTTTGTAAATGATTTAAAAGATGTTTGAATTCAGGAGTATTGGGATTATATACATGAGAATTAGTCACCGTTTTGATATATTTAAACCATGTCGTATTTAATCTACTGAAAAAAAAGAGAGAATTTTCTTTAGATAAGATTATTACGAAATAAAATATTCAATAGTTCTTATATAAAAATAAGAAACATCTCAAATGTTAATTAAATGTAAGATAATATCTTAGTTACAAGACAGAAAAAAAATTTTGTTTTTAGTTATTCAGTCATACTCGTCTTTTTTTTGATGTCATAATTATATATGTATTATGAAAATAGAATGTATAATCTATGATGTTTAATGATCGTAAAACGAATCAGATTAGGTTCATATCACATGAATGATTACTATGAACAATTTAATATTCATAAAATATGACATTAATTAAAAAAAAAGCTGTAGAAGTTAATTTTGTAGTGATACACTTTTAGAAATAATATTTTCAGTTGACTTACACCCAGACTTAATTTTACCTGGCGAAAGCCTTCTCATTTCTTTTTTGATAGAAAATTCATGATTAGTCTAATATTCATATATAACGATTATAGATAATATCTGCTTTTCATCAGAAAGAAAACGTATTAATTCGTATATATATATATAGAAAACCTTCGTTTGCGTAATAAAAATAACCTCATTGCATGTTATATTTTTAATTCTGCTGAAAGCATCTATAAAACAAACAAACAGAAAAAAAATGTTGAAATAATAGGAATGTTTCTCTGAATACAACATATTCCATCAAATCGTGTTTTATCTTCTATATAAAAAAAAGTAAACAACTCGAAAAAGGTTTTTTTTCTAATTAACTTGTCTGATCTGTATAATCCTAAAGTAAAATGTAAAAGAAAAGATTGATTGAAATAGATAACCTTGAAATATTAACATACATATTCATTCATTACTATGATATGCATGAATGCATAATATATCTTGTCTCTTAATATACTTAGTATATTCTTACTAGTGATAAGAAGAAAAGAAATAGAGAAACATGTGTATAATGTCATCATCATTAATCATTAGACAAACCGTTACGAAATAAATCATTATTTTTATATAAAAAAATAAGAAATTGTTATATATCATCAAATAAACTCTATCCGACAGACATATTTAACTAACTTACTCTGGTTCATCTTGTGCAAGTCCATCATGCATAATATCAGCTAAATTTACATATTTATCATTTTCATGATCTGCTTTCCATTTCGTTAATGTATAATGTATAAAATGTCTTAGTTGTATTTTATCTTGTTCATTCATAATTTTAGCTGTTGTTGTTATATTAAATTGAAGTTTATGATTTTTTTCTTTCATAGTGACTGAATCAGCTGTATCGACATTCGTCTTTGTATTATTATTATGTGGTGATACTTTTTTTGGAATAAATTTGCCAAAATTCCATGTTGAATTAATAGAATTTGATTTTAGTTGATTATTTCGAGTAGTACGTACTAATTGAAAAAGTTCATGAATACGATGAGAAGTTATATATGATGAATGTTTATTTAATGTATGTGATTGTGATGCTTTTAAATCATAAATATTTGGTTGATCGAGAGCTGATAGAAATGATATAGCAACGGGTGGTTTAGGAACAGATTCTGGAGTTTTTTCGAGTAATTCAAACTCATTCGTTGACCATATTAATACGTGTAGTGTAATAAAGACAATAACGAATATTGTTATACTCAACAAGATTGAGGAGCGTAAGCGAAGACGTAAGTACCGCATTCATTCATCACCCAAGACTGATGATTTGACGTGTTCTTTTCTTAAAGATAGAAAAAAAAAATGTGTTAATAAAAATTATTCTTTTTTTCTTCCAGTTTCTTTAATTCTCTACCTCATTTGCATTTTATTCTAATGACACTGCCTACATTCAAGTGAGTTAATAATTGTCCGCTTCACTACTCTTTTAATACACAATTATCTACTTAATAATTTGTTATGAATGATAGAAAATATAGTCCTAACACGCCTGATCTCAATTGACCTTCTTCATATTTTTGTCTCAAATAAATACTATAGGGAAAAAAGAAACAAAGAAGAAGAACAATAATAAATAAAATAGAAATGATATATACTATATTAATATCCGTCTTTATGACAACTGTTACCCGGAAACATATTGCAAACTCAATTTTTTTTTTCGAAAGAATATACTTGTATATTTCGAGAGGAAAATTTATTCGCATTTTCTTACTTACTCTTCTAATCATAAACTGAAGAATGCTAGATACGATTTGCTATTCTTTTCGTTCTTTTGTATTCTACAAATCATATAGGAGTGTTCTATACTATATATTATAAGCAAGATTCATTCAAACACAATTAAATTTATCAGCGTGCGAAAAAAAACCTAGCGCTTGCTAAATAGAAGAAGAAAAAATATATGTCATCTTCGGTTGTGCTACAGAGAAAAAAAATGTTTCTGGATAGACGACTGTCATAAGCTGTTTTTTCTTCTTCTCTTTAGCCGAAGAAAATGTGCACATGTATAAGCTATAAGGTAAATTATAAAAGAACAGCAAGAAAAATTTCTACTTATTTACATATAATATACATTCGTACAGCAGGGAGTTGACTACAAAAAACGAGATTACACACAAAAAGAACGAATGATGACATTTCGACTACTGGAAGATAAAGATAAGAACGCAATGGTAAAGATCATTCATCACGTATTCTTTTCTATTTGTAATGATTGGTGCCTATCCTTGAGAACGAAAATGAAACAAAAAAAAGGCGTTTGATATTTGTATAGAATCCTTACAAATAGTTTATTTGCTAATAAAAATTCAAACTGAATAAAATGTTTAAAAAAACACTCAACAACGACAATGACAGTTATGTTAAAATAACTTTCTAAAGAAAAAAAAAGAAGATCGGCTTATCTTTGTCGTACTGAATTTGCTAATTTTATAATAACAAAATTAATGTCTCATAAGATTTGTTAGATGCGGAGAACCACTTAATAAGACTGACTTCATTTATTAAATTTCTTTTTTTTATTCAAATAGAATAAATATAAAAATCTAATGTAAATAGTTGCATCTTCAATCAATCTATATTTTTATAATATATGGACTATAAATTGATTGTATTTTAATTATTCAGAAATCGAATAATCTCTAGGGAAATTGAATTTTCGTTAAACCAATTTCTTATATATATATAAGAAAGAAAAATTACTATTATAATCAAATCATAAGTTCTATTCTACTACATCATTATTACTATTTGTTTTTGCAAATAATTATATATATGAACCACAAATAATTTATGAAGAATAACAAGTACAACATTTTGAAATTATACTTTGTTAATAATTGATTAGCTACACTATGTACATGCCTATAATCTTTTCCGTAGGGAAAATAAATATAGTCTAGCACGAAACGAACTATTATCATGTTTCCTTAACGAACTGGGTGTTTGAGTACATGAAATAAGAGGAGAATGTTTGATGCATAGCAACAATAAAGATGATTTTAAATGATTTTTGTATGTAAAAGTTTAAACTTGAGATTTTAACTGAGTTCAATAATTTGAAATAAATTTTTGAAAGGATGACTCTTTCTTTTCTTCTATCGAACTAATATACCGTGATAAAAAAATAGAAAAGTAATTTGATATTTTCTTCTACTCAATTATATATATTCATTCATATTCAAGTTTATTTATTAACGCAATATTTAAATACAAAAAGGTTATGATTTAGCGGTTATCAGAGGTGGCGCGAGTCAGTCAACATTGGGGACAGGTGTACCGAAATGTTTTTGAATTTCTGGGGGATTTAGCATCATCTTTGGTAAAAAACTTAAGAAGATTTGCCGATTTTATTGAGCAAAAAATAGAAAGTTTTGAAGATTAAGGGGGTATTATACCCCCGATACCTCCCCTGATCGCGCCACCCCTGGCGATTATTAAGATTAAATCCTACTTTGACATATTTACTGTAGACGTTTACATTTATATGCCAACTGTTAACAGCTATCAGAAGATATTTATCATCTGAAGAATAAAAGACAGTCATGTATATATACACAGATGTGTTATGATTCTAGTAGATACGCTATAATAACAGAAGTTACCAAACTAGATGTTTCAAACTATCTAACAGACAAAACTTTCTAAACAGTTAATAGTTTCTTCATAGGAATATATAAGATATTATACAGCTCATTGCATTAATTTCGTCAGCCCAATATGTACAACTAGATGCATTATCTTTTTATATATATTTCAGCTTAATTTTCAAGGACGAAAATGTGTCATTATAGACAAGAAAAGAAAGAACAATCATATGTAAAAGTACCATTTAATGATTCATTTTCTTTACACAATGAAAAGATAAAAAAAAGCAATTTGTTTTATATTATTATTTTTTTCTTTCTTTTCTATAACGATACATTTTAGCACTTAAAAATAAATATTGAAGTGCGTGTAAATAAATAGTAAGATCGGTGATATATTGTAGACTGGCTAGAAATTGAAGCTGATGAAAGAAGACTCTGATAAGAAGACATATAATAGCTTTAATATAACATCTAGGAAGAACTACGATTGCCTAGTATATCGCATACATCTAAGTATGTTTCTAATAAAAAAAACAATTGGCTATTTGAAAGATTTCATTCGTAAAGAATTATTCCTTTACTATTTTATTATCATTCTTACAGCTGTGCATAACAGCACAAAAATATACTCTGCATAACTTAACAAAGAACGCTATACAGCTGATTTCTTTCTGACAATAACACCCGTGAATATATTTTAATATAAACACATACTTTCATCGAGCACCTGATACTATGCTACTTAGTTTTGTTATTCTTCATTCTGTATTCAGACAAAAGAGCTATCTAACGTCTATATGCGATTAAGAATTGAATAGGTTGAAAAGCATATCATAAAATAAAGTAATATTCTGTAAAAGTGGTCTTAGTTTTATACTCGCTCTTGTACAATGATCATCAAAGATTTATGATCTACATGTCTATTGAATATTATATGTATCTGAATATTTCTCGTTTTCTAAAAGTTAAAATATTATATATAGTATCTTATTCTAAATACATACTGAATTTTATTGATTATAAATTGGTTGAATCGATTTTATGTAAATTATTATAAATAAAGTTATTCGATATGATATTTTATCATATTCATTATTTATTTCCATTCGATTCACCGGATGATGTTGACAATGTCGTGGAGATAAATATTTGATATTGATGAGGACAATAAATGTAAGAATTGAAGAATGTTTTTATTGAAAATATGATAAATTTTGCGTTTTGATAATCTAAACCATCATTGTCAAGAAAAAATTATTATATATATAACTATACATACTATATTAAGAATAGAAACTAAGTCTATATCTCTGAATGATAGTTGACGTGGATAATGAGACAATATATATTGATGATAAGGTCATATAGTTTGCTGCTATTAGCTATTGATACCTTGAAAAGTAACATGTGCTCTTGCCTTTTGTTATTGATAAAGAAACAAAATCGCAAAAAGAGAAAGAAGAAGAAGAAGAAGACGAGAAAAAGTATACGCGTAAAGTGATCTAAAAGCAATTTTACCCAGAAAAAATTGAATACCTCTATTACAATTCGATTAAACGGATTTATTTATTTTACCAAGAATAGAGATATGTTCACACTCTAAATTTATACAAACAAGATTAGTGAGAATCCATACTCATTATATTGTTCTTTCCTACATGTTAATACTTAACAAAGATTCTTACTAGCGTTATTTGTATGAACGATGAAAAAATAAATTCGTTTAATCGAATTCTAATAAAAATATTCGATCTTTTGTCGGTATAGTGATTTATGGACTACTCTACGTGTACACCTTTTTTCTTCTTCTTCTCTCGCTCTTTTTTATTCTTCTTTTTCTGTATATATAACAAATGACAAGAGAGCGTGTCTTTTCAAGGCATTAACAGCTGATAGTAATAAATTATTTGACCTCATCAACAATAAATACTATCTCGTTAGTCACGTCAACTATCGTTCAAAGATATTGGCTTAGTCTCTCTCTATCCTAACATAGTTATATATAATAATTTTTTCTTGACAATGATGACTCAAATCATACTTCGATTTTCATCTGATTATGTTCGTCCGAGCTATTTTAATCCTTATATTTATAGACTTCTAGGGATTTATGTATCTTTTCTTCTTACAACGCAGCATAATAGTTTGATACCCATAGACAATGAACTATCCAGAAATAATTCATATAATTGATCGACAAAGATCTTGCAGTTATTATCAAGACATAATAGAATTCTTTTGTTCTAATATATATCGTACATAAGCTTCAATTTGATAATGATTAAAAAGTGTATTCAGTAAGAACCGATTCATGTATTTGGATATTCTTCATATATTTTGATAAATATTTTTGGCTATTGTTGTTCCAGTGTAGGATTAGAATGATCCTATAAATCATTTGTTTCCATCCGTCTTTTTAAAAGTTCCTATTCTTTATGATAAATAATAAATTTTGATTTGTTTGAGTTTAATAATTGATGCCAATTGTTTGCATAAGTAAACAAATAGTACATACTCACATAAAGAATAAACAAATACAAGTTATTTCCCAATGATGTTGCAATAATCTACTTGTAGCTCATTTGCTTCGTATATAAAGGCTAAGGCTTTAGAAATAAATTTATTTTTTTATTGAAAATCAATATATAATTG